GTGACAATTGATATATATTTTTAAATTCAATTATTAATCTTCGAATCGACCTCTGAAAGAAGAAATCAAAGAAAATGAAAGGAAAACAAAAAAGAGGAAATGGACAATTAGAGACCTATAAATCGAATAAGAATAGAACTTTTATTGATGTCTATTATGAAATAAATGAATGACTGTCCAAATGAACGACATTAATCATACCACTCTCAGTAATTCTTTTTGTATCATTGTGCTTTGATTGCAGTGTCTGAAGTAGTTATTCAGTCACTTACTTGATGTTAATAGTCTAAACACTGTCTAATGAGCATTCTTTGCGTGATAAAAATGCATTTGCACTCTGAAATGAGACATAAGATGGGGAACTCTCACTTCAGGAATGAATATAGGATAAGTATCATTTGCATGTTGTATCTTCATAGCTTCAGTTGTTAGCTATCCCTTTGGTGAAGCTCATTTCAGTGGTTCATGTTACAGTAAATTGATATGTTGATAATGGAGAATTGACTCTGTGCTTTATATTAGGTTTGATAACAAAGACTTCCTAGTTCTGTACCATAGATGAATTTTATCCATTTTGGACCTTTCCGGCAGGTTGTTTAGATTCTGCCATCATTTTGTATGATCAAGTCTTTTTGGGCTTCCTTTTACTACTTTACTAAGGAAATATGCATTTATATTCAACGTAAGACACAATAAATGCAGATTGATATGGTCATTTTATGATCAATCCCGAACAACAATGCCCGAGATTGTTTCCGGTTATCTAGGGAGTTTTCCTAAGGTGTCCTCCTCATACTTAATTGCTGCATGTAACGATTCCACGTCACCTCGAACTTTTACCTTTATCCATTTCTCTACCCCAAAAGACATACTTTAGTAGGACTCTACTTCTATCTTCAAATTTATCCAACTCCGATAAGGTTGAATCCCACGAGAACCTTTTTGTCATATCCTAAAAGAATTTTAACAAATTTTAAGACTCCAAAAAGGATACGATATCCAATAATCTAATCATACTAGGAGTGTACCACCTACTCTATAAATACATGACCACAATTCATTATTCAAGTATATTTTACATTCAATTTATAGTTTTACGCTTATATTTTCCCCTTTCACTAACTTAAGCATCGGAGGGATAACGAAGACACACCTCGAAGCCTTTGTTTTAGGTACCGAAAATTTCGTTCGTGATCATCCTCAATCGTTAAGCTTGATAATAACATGTGACAATTTTTGGTAATATCACAGATTATCACCTATTGATTTTTGTCATACTGGACTAGTTTGTGTTTGGAATTTTCATAATGTAAATTAGATGTTCTTTTCTTACACCGTTTTTGTTTTTATTTCTTAACTATAACGTAAATTTGATTTTTTGTCAGATGACATTTTGAGTGATGTTTTGAAAGCAAGCTTAGTCTAGTATGGGAAACAATGGGATGGAAGAAGAGCTCATAGAATCGTAGGAAAGACACCTTATGCAGCTTCGGCAGCTGTTCTGGAGGATTATGAGCTGCCCATTTCAACAGATGAATGCATATCAGAAATTACACAAAGATTCTCTGAGCAGTAATTTTCCTGTGAACTAATCTCTTTCTGCATTATCATTTTGTGTCAAGTTTTCCCATCCAAAAAATCATAGCATCTATGGTTGGTGACTTTTGGATGTGTGCTTTGTTTTTGCACACAAATATATTATTTTCATTTAATATGCTTAAGATTTTAGAAATTCATAGTATATCTAGCTCGTTAGAGATTTCTGATAACTGTACTTTCTCTGGCAATGAGTGTTTTATATTCAATGGTGAAAAAATGAAAAACAGGTTTGTATATTTTGCTATTTCTGTGATAGGTGGTGCAATATCAAAGCTCAACCCGGTGCCAAGAGGTTAATTAATCATTTGAGGAGTCATGGAGTGCCAATGGCGTTGGCTTCCAATTCTCCAGATACGAATATTGAAACCGAGATATCTTATCATCAGGGTAGGTTTATCTGAAAACCTCAACTAATAAACACACACTTCATAAACAGATGTTCTTCTTTATGTAGTTGAGAATTCCTTGTGTTTGATTAGCAGAGCTAGTGATCATCATATAATTTCGATTTACAGGTTGGAAAGAATCCTTTTTCTGTTATTATAGGAGGTGATAAAGTCACAAGAGGAAAGTCATCACCTCAAATGTAGGATACGTACAGCCGGCAATGTCTTTCTTATGGATGTTTCTGTTATGAAGAAATTGAATAAATATTTATATTCATTTGGTGTGTCCATTATTGAAGATATGTCGAAGCTGCAAAAAAGGCTTAACATGAATCCTTCCAGCTGTCTTGTCATTGAAGATTCACTGCAAGTATCTTGTTCCATGGCCTTCTGGATTTCTTTCAATAACGAAGTATTCTGACAAGCAATGAAATGATGATACCTCTTGAGAATGCTCGACCGTGTTAAGTTCTACTGAACAGAACTCTAGTAGTATTTTGAGAATGCCTTGTTGTATACAGGCCAGGGGTTACTGCTGGTAAGACTGCTGGAATGGAAGTTGTTGCGGTCCCATCCTGTCCTAAAAAATCCCATCTTTTTGCTTCTGCAGACAGTCATTAATTCTCTTCTAGATCTACAACCCGAAAAGTGTGGCCTACCTGCATTTGAAGACTGTGAGCCTCTGTTACTCTTTTTTTTTGCTTGTTTGTAATACATTCTATGTTCTATGCTTCGACCAAAATGAAAAATCAGGGATGGAAGGTACTTTGCCAATGGAACCTTGGTGCATTGGTGGTCCTGTCATCAAGGGCTTTGGACGCGGATCAAAGGTGCTCGGGGATCCCTACAGGTTTCTCGAATTCTACATTTCCTCTAAAGTAACAAACTAATAATATTATTGATATATAATTGTCTGCATGGTGGTGTTCTACTTGATAAGCTACTTTGTGCTCGTTTATGTGATCTCAAAGTCCCACAATTTTTTAATTTCTTGCCTTTTGTTTTGATAAGTAGGTAACTTATTCTAACAAGAAGCCTTCATATTTTAGCAAATATATCCACTGAGGGCTATTCAGCTATCCTTTCAAAACATTCTTCAGGAGTTTATTTTGGTTGGACCAGATTACCAACTCGAGGTGTTTACAAGATGGTCATGATCATTGGTTGGAACCCTTATTTCAATAACTCCGAGAGGACTATAGTCGGTGACATGTATCTTTATCTCTCGTTTCTTCCATGACTTTGAGCATGTTTGGCAAATCTTAAAATAAATACAAATTTTATTTGTCAATACATGTCTGGATAACGTGAGAAAAAGTTATTTGTATCGGAAGTAACTCTAATGTTTCTCACAAAATAAGTAACTTATTTTCAATTCTCGCCTATAAGAAAGGTAATTCACATTATAACTCATTTACTTGTACGTGAACTCTTTAAGCTTAGCCAACACCAAGCTCTTCTTATCTTCATACCTTATTGCTTTAACTAATATAATGTTCTTATCCCATATGATACCATTAATTGGGAGCCACGGTTGCCCCATGATTTTAACGAGGACTTTTGTGAGGAATTACGACTTGCTATAGATGGCTATGTACGACCGGAGGTACTAAAACCACTTCTATGCAATCTTTTTTATGCCTTATGGAATGCTATTTTCGTTACTAATAGCTAGTCATGTAATATCCTAGGCAAACTTTCCTTCGCTCGATAGCCTGGTAGCGAAGATCCATGTGGACAGGAAAATCGCGGAGAATGCTCTTGAACTTCCTCTTTATTCAAAGTACAAGGTAGACCCATATCCGAACAGCTAATTACTTAAGAGAGCTGCTTGATGGCCAGGGCCCTGGCCAAGCAGCTTTATTGTTTCTTTAGAAATTGTTGGACCACATTGATATCATTAGTTACATTGTGCAATTGGAGATGAATTCAACAATTCTTTACTCTAGTGACAAATTGTTGTAATGGAAGTCGTTACTTGTATCATTTGTCTACAATTTAAAAGAAATCTTCGACATATTTTCATCTGTAAACTCGTAGGAATCACAAACATGTAGAAAAATATTATTCAAAAGAAATCTTTGACATATTTTCATCTGAAACTTGTAGAAACCACGGACATAACTATACAATATTAAATAAGTTAAAAATATTATTCAAAAGCCTGCACGGACCGAGTTGAACAGATCCACANGTAGAAACCACGGACATAACTATACAATATTAAATAAGTTAAAAATATAATTCAAAAGCCTGCACGGACCGAGGTGAACAGATCCACAAATTAAGAGGGTGCATGCCCGACCTCATAGTCTTGTTTTGACACCACTCGTGAAGCATATCTAATAATTATTTAACAAAATATAATTGATATTATAGACTGATCAAACTAGATTCACTTGTCAATATACTGTACCAAACATTATAAGCCATTGTTGGAGCCAATTTTTTTAATCATCGTATTTTTGAACAGTTATTTGATCACATTTCAACCACATATTCTTCTATAAAATAACATTATACGTAAATTCAAAATTGTTTCTTATTTTTTAATGATATATTTTCAATCATAACAACATTGCAAAATGTATTTTTTGAAAAAAAAAAAAGGGGGGGCTCAAAGAACCCCTAAATTACAAAAATTTACTAGTGCTAAGCCGGTTCTGACAACTAAAATCGTGTAAGGATATCGCGACTTCTTTCAGTGAAACTAACCGCCACTGTTTCCGTTGTATAACCCCCGTTGCCCGCCCACACACACACCCGCACACACACTCACATCGAATTTCTCTCATGTCCTCTGATAACAAACTCTGGACACAATAGGAGCGAAAAATGGCTTCCGTGGAACGCGAGCCACCGGGAACTGACGGACCCGAACCTGGACGCAAACGACAGAAAGTAATGGTTACTGAATCGGATGCAATCCGCCCGCCGGTTCTTCTTAACCCCGCTGATTGCGATATAGGTGAGGATCAATTTTTACTCCGATTGTTTTTTTTCTTGTTTTTTCCCCTTCAATATCGCGTTTTTTAAAGCCTTAGTTTTGGGTGGTTGATATTAGGGTGAAGTATTTTTTTCAGTTTTCTTGATATATATTTTTGCTATGTGTTATGTGTTATTCTTATTTATTGATTGATTTATATTCCCGAAAGTGAAAAGAGAAACTTTAAAATGAAATGAAGAAAGGGGTTTAAGAATTTAAGAATTAATTGAATTTTGGCTTTAGATATGGGGTATTTGAGCATTTTGTTTGTTGATCGCACTTGAATAATCTGGAGACTATCGATATGTTTATTGGCTTGAATTTGCATGTACACTGGCTAAAACTCCTTCAATTTTGTTCTCTTACGAATTCCTTTTCCGTTATGAAGTGAGGGAAGGAGCATTATATCAGTTTGAGGTTCTTTGGATGATTAATTACTGTAGTTCACTCTCCTGTGCACTGCAATTGATTAGCAACTGCCTAGTATGGAGTTGTTAATTACTGCTAAAGGTCTCTTTTCACAAAATTCTTTGAACAAGTGATTTGTCAGTTTTCTCTATCCATTTTTAGATCCTATATACCCTCTTTAATCTGTAATCTAATTCTGCTGATTAAATGCCTCTGGTATTGTTGATTGGGACGTTAAGTTTTGAATGATGCCATAATTTGATGCCAACCCTGATCTTTTCTGACATTTTTCTCTGTCCAGATTTTAATATTGAAGGAAATGGTCTGCAAGGCTCCGCCATTTATGAAGAAGGATTTTCTTACTGTTGGTCTGGTGCTCGGGCCAATAAGGGAATCACTGGGGGTAAATACTGTTTTGGTTGCAAAATAGTTTCAGCTCAGCCAGTGGATATGAGAGATACTCCAATAGAGCAGCAACATGTTTGTCGCCTTGGCATATCAAGAGGTGATGATGCAGTGGGAAACCTTGGCGAGACTGCTCACAGTTTTGGTTTTGGAGGCACTGGAAAATTTTCTAATTATGGAAAGTTTTCTGGTTATGGTGAAAATTTTGGGGTTGGAGATACTATAATTTGTGCTGTGGACCTCAAAAATAAGCACATGGCTTCCATTGGTTTTTCCAAGAATGGAAAGTGGTTAGGCATAGCAAAGCATTTTGATGCAGGTCCAAGGGGTCTCGGAGTGGTTAATTCTTCAATCAAAAAGTTGCAATGGGAGTCGGCCCTTTTCCCACATATTTTACTGAAAAATGTAATAGTTCAGTTGCAGTTCAGCATTGAAGATGGGCTAGTTCCTGAAGAAGGCTACAAACCTTGGTCTTCTGCCATTGAGGATGGGAACACAGTCCTAGGACCTTCCTTTTCAAAGGGTGATTGTGAAGTGATAATGATGGTGGGATTACCTGCTTCTGGCAAAACTACTTGGGCAGAAAATTGGAAGAAAGAGCATCCAGAAAAACGATATGTTCTGCTTGGTACAAATTTAGCACTGGAACAAATGAAGGTTTCTGCCAGTTCTAGTTCCTTCCTTCTCTCTTTCCCCCACCCAACCTAGCACACACTCACAACCCCATCAGAAGTACAGATTTTTCTTTCTTTTTGTCATTGCGTGATTTGATACAAGTCAAACCTCTTGACAGGTACCAGGTTTACTGCGCAAGCATAATTACGGTGAAAGGTTTGAGCGTTTGATGGACCGTGCAACTGGCATTTTTAATACTCTCTTGTCCAGGGCTTCCAAGATACCTCGGAATTTCATAATTGATCAAACGAATGTCTACAAGAGTGCACGTAAACGTAAACTGAAGCCTTTTGCTGACTACAGGAAGGTAGTTGATTGAAATGGACAGAATCTTTTTTACTATTTTTTCTTCATTTTTGTTCCAACTTGATTGAAACACTGATTTTTACTTGTTGGTATTCCCTTAATCAGATTGCTGTCGTGGTTTTTCCAAGACCTGAAGAGTTGAAATTCCGTGCTGCTAAGAGATTCAAAGAAATGGGAAAGGAAGTTCCTGCTGAGGCTGTTAATTCGATGTTGGGTATGCTCAGAATTAAATGATATTTCTTACTAGGTCTCTTATCTTTTCCTGGCATTGGATGTCATTTCTTTTGGTGTACTGAAACTAGTATCTTCAGTCAATTACAGTTTGCCCAAGAGCAAGGACATGCATGGGACAGATGAGTACTTTGATGAGGTACTGAGAAAAAAAAATATAATATACCAAAGTTATTTGTTCCTTGTTTTCGAGCAATACTGAGTTCGATATCACGTGCTTGTAAGGTTTTGTTCACGGAACTCAATAGAACCGAGTCACAGAGGTACTTAGAAGAGATGAAAAGAGAGATGAATGCAAATCGTGACGTGTCCCGTTATTCTAATGAAACTTCTACGCGGTCATATTGTACTTCGTTACAACTTGGTCACGGGGCCTCAGTTCAGTCACATTCTGGCTTTTCATTACAAAATCAAAGCTGCCCACCAGGTTGTTTGTCCTTTTAGTGAATTGAAAATGGAGAATTTAATTTATTGTTAATTCTAAACATAATGTTTTTTTTTTTTGTTTTGACACGGTTTCGATATGGCTCAGGAGTAGGTGGTCACTGGAATAGTTCATACCCCTCCCAGCCTCCCTCTGGAGGCCCTTATGGATCCTATTATTCAAGCCCTTCTGTTTGTGAGTCGAGGCAAGATTTTGATCACAAAGGAGGAAGTCACAGTGGAGGTTTTGGTGAACTCTATCGAAGTTATGGAGGAGGTAATGCACACAACTTTGCTGGTGTGGAAAACGGAAGTTTCTTACCTGGGGCTACAACTGATCCTAGCCGAAGCGGCACCGTCAATCACTATTCTGAAACAACTCCATCGTCGTACCACACTTTCCATAGATATTCCATTGGCTCTCAAGGCCCACCGCCCAGTCTGTCAGTTACGAGGCCTCCTGCGTATCACTTCAGTACACCCTCAACAACACATGGTTCGTAACATTATGAAATTTTTTTCTTAAAAAAACTTAAATTCTTTCTGATAATACAAACATAAGCATAGTTCCAGATTCGGGAACCTAGATAATAACACTATTGTTTCATCTGTGGTTCGCAGATATTACTGACTGATCATTTTTCTCCTTTTGTTGTTACAGGTTCGTATCCGACTACAATTCCCGGGCCTCCCTATGACAACTTTCTCACGAATTCGCAACCTCGTCTGCCGCCTCCCCCTGTAAATTTTCCTACAGGCTTGCCAAGTCCTGGAGTTTTTCCCCCGCCTCGTTCAGGTTACTATTGATTGCAGAGGATAAGAGCAGTGTAGAGTCTGATCAGCAGAAAACTATGAGAGTGTTTGTCTGAATCAGGGTGTGTAGACTGTATAGTGATGTATTAAAATTTCTTTGATACAAGTTCTTTGTTCTGTTCTTTTGGTATGTCTACTGTGAACTAAAAAAGTAAAAACTAAAATACCCACAAAATTTTACGCTATTTTTCTCTCTTTTTTTCATTTTTGACTGAATTCGTGTCTCTCTGTATGTTTTCGATATTATAGCACAGACTTCTGTAACCCGTTGTTGTATTTGAGTCTCTGTTTGGTACTCGTTTCTTAACATACATTTATTTTTTCTTGTACTTATTCGAAAACAATTCTTAACTTATTATAAATAAGATTTAATTTGTTGGTCGATTTTATTTGAGAGATTATCTTATACTATATAAAAGAAGGATAGCTGCACGGTATTCCCGCCTAAGATGCTACTCCAATTTCCCGCTCAAGGGA